AGGAGGGGGGAGGGGGTGAACGGATGGATAGGGTATATAACGGGTGGACATACTGACGGACTGACCAACACGTAATTATAAACGGTGTAGGAAGGTCTGTTTACTACCCCAGGTTACCACAAGACACCGTTCACTGGTCACATGACGGTCACTGTTATGAATGGAAGGATGAAGGCCGAATGAGCTCTAACTTAACTTTAACCTAACCTAACTTTAACCTAACATTAACCTAATCTAACACCTAACCTAACTTTAACCTAACCAAACTTTAACCTAACTTTAGCCTAATCTAACTTTAACCTAATCTAACTTTAACCAAACCTAACCTTAACCTAACCTAACTTTAACCAAACCTAACCTTAACCTAACCTTAACCAAACCTAACCTTAACCAAACCTAACCTTAACCTAACCTAACTTTAACCTAACCTAACTTTAACCAAACCTAACCTTAACCTAACCTAACTTTAACCTAATCTAATATTACCTAATCCGACCAAACTTAATTTACTCTATATCTCGTTTCTGTTGGATCCGAAACCCATTACCTATAATGTTTTAAACTCCATAAAGGAAACACAATATTACATGCATATTCATTATATTTCAGGGTGGTATTCGAATCGTCCATTGTTGAGGTTTCGAATCCCATAACCCAGTGTTTCATGTTTCAAATCTTACCTATTTATTCAGTCACATTCCTAATATCCCACGGTGTGATTCGAACCCGATTTCATTATTCCTTGAACCCCACCATGACACACATACGTAATTCATTCTCTTATATTCCAATACAGACTTTAACGAAGATTCGAATCGGGCTTTAGGATTCAGAATCATATCCAATACTAAAACACGTGAATCTGTTGTCTTCACTCTCTCCTCCTGCGTGTTGGGTGGATAAGGAATAGGAATAATTGGGGAGAATAAGATAAATATGGAAAGTGACAGGACAGAGATCAATAAACATTCAGTCTATCTTGTGCAGGAATTCGATACCGATTTGCTGTGTGTGTGTGTGTGTGTGTGTATGTGTGCGTGCGGGTTGAGGGGGTCGAGTTTTCCTCACACCCTTACAGTCAGTTATGCGGAGTGATCAAAATGCCTTAGGATAATTGTGGTTTCATGCACACACACACACACACACACACACTGAGTACCGTGACGTCGACAAAACCCCACACAGTTCATGGGAAAACTTACCTGTTCGTCTGGTGTGTCAAGGGAGGAGGGGGGAGGGGAGGGGGGTGGTTAGGGGGGTGGGGATAGGGAGAGGAGGGAGAAAGAGGGGGGAGAAGAAGGAAAGTAGGGAGTAGAGGGAGATAGGGAGAGGAAGGGAGGGATCGTTCTGTCGGAAGATGTGACGTAAACGCTGGTATATTTACGTCACTGTTGTAAGAGATGAGACGGAGGAATATATCAATAATTCAAAGAGACTATAAGAGAGACAGGTGAGAGACTTTTAGAGACTTTTAGAGACAGGTGAGAGACTTTTAGAGACAGGTGAGAGACTTTTAGAGACAGGTGAGAGACTTTTAGAGACAGGTGAGAGACTTTTAGAGACTGGTGAGAGACTTTTAGAGACAGGTGAGAGACTTTTAGAGACAGGTGAGAGACTTTTAGAGAGACAGGTGAGAGAGACTTTTAGAGAGACAGGTGAGAGAGACTTTTAGAGAGACAGGTGAGAGAGACTTTTAGAGAGACAGGTGAGAGATAGGTAGTGTTGTAGAGACAAAATTCCGAAGAGGAGAAAAAATAAATAAATAAAATCCTAACTTTTGTACAGACAAGAGGAAGTTGCGTCTGTTGTTACCTTAAGGCCGGGAGGGAAGGAGGGAAGGAAGGAGGGAAGGAGGAAGGACAAGGGTCAAGGAAAGTAGGAAGAAAGGGCAAGGCGGAGGAAGGAACGATGAAGGAAAGGAAGGATAGAAGGAATGAAGGAAGAAAGAAAGGAAAGGGGAAGGGAAGTAAACGTGGTAAGAAAGAAGGAAGGAAGGAAGGAAAAGGGTCAAGGAAAGAAGGAAGAAAAGGTAAGGTGGAGGAAGGAAGGATGAAGGAAAGGCAAGGAGGAAAGAAGTATAGATGGAATGAAGGATGAAGGAAATTAAAAGGGAAGGGAAGTAAACATGGTAAGAAAGAAGGAAGGAAGGAAGGAGGGAAGGGAAAGAAGTACAGCTCACCGGAATTCCAGTCTCGGCCTTAAAATGCAGAAATTCCTGTTAAAGGGGAATTCTTCTTCTTCTTCTTCTTCTTCTTCTTCTTCTTCTTCTTCTTCTTCTTCTTCACACACAGAAACAAACACAACAAACACACAGGTAGAGGAACCAACTAGGGCTGTCTGTGGGCCAATCAGAGTGAAGCAAACCGGATGTGCTAATTGGTAGTTAGTTTCCTTCTGAGTAATTATGGTTGTACTTTTTTCTACTGTTTCTTTGCTACTTTAATTTACCTGTTAATTAGTCTTATGAGTCTTGTATTTATTTGTTTGTTTACTTGTTCGTTTGTTAAGACCTCAAATTCTCCTCATCTTCCTTTGTCATTTCTTCCTCATTCCTCCTCCTCCTCCTCCTAATCCTCTTCTCCCTCTCTCATCTCTCCCTCATTCCTCCTCCTCCTCCTCCCAATCCTTTTCTCCCTCTCTCATCTCTCCCTCATTCCTCCTCCTCCTCCTAATCTTCTTCTCCCTCTCTCATCTCTCCCTCATTCCTCCTCCACCTTACATCTTCCTCTTCCCCATCCCCTAACTTTTCCCCCTCTCTCTCCCCCTACCCCCTACCCCCCCCATTAGTAGAAAGCAAAGGTGTCCCTCAATATACCAATACTTATAAGAACTATTAAGACTCATAACAACTATTACGACCGTCACAAACAGCTGTTACCGTCCTAATTAACACCTGTTCCGTCTAATTAACACCTGTCGTTCCGTTTTCCTGTCCGTCAGAAGGGGAATTCTGTTTTAAGCTGTAATTTCTCTTCTGTCCTTAACTTTCCTGTCATATTTCATTTTCATGCTATGTGGGTTTTACTTCCGTTTTCTGTTGGTTTTGTGTACGTTTTCTGTTGCTATGTGGGTTTTTACTTCCGTTTTCTGTTGGTTTTGTGTACGTTTTCTGTTGCTATGTGGGTTTTTACTTCCGTTTTCTGTTGGTTTTGTGTACGTTTTCTGTTGCTATGTGGGTTTTTACTTCCGTTTTCTGTTGGTTTTGTGTACGTTTTCTGTTGTTATGTGGGTTTTTACTTCCGTTTTTCTGTTGATATGGTTACCACTTTTTCATTTTCATTTTATACGTTTTTAACCTTCATTTGACTTCTTTTATTTTTGGAGATTTTGACCCTTTATTTAGGAGTCTGTATCTGGGGCTTTTGTTTATAATTTCACGTTTATTTCCTCTATTGTTTGTAATTAATGTATCTTTTATTATTTATCTATATTAAAGGGGTCAGTTAAATGCCTTATCGGGGTTTTCATTTGGATTATAATTTATCATTTATTATTTATTTTAATTTAGTGTTTATTTTCAGTTGCGTCAGAAGCTCTATATATATGTGTGTGGATCCGTGATTGACTAGCTTACTCACTCAATCACTGACGGAGAAATATTATCATGGACTCATTCACTGGTGTAACGTGGTTGGTTTTTATTGGGGTGTTGAGTACGATGGCTTTAGAATAATGAGTGCGATGACCTAATTTTTTTTGAGTACACGTGACATTATATTGAGATGTGATTAAAATTATCTTCGTACTCAAGAGGTTTAAAAAAAACAGTAATTTCCTGTCAACAAGTTAGACTCTCAGCACTTAAACTCTCTCTGCAGCTAAACTCTCTCTGCACCTAAACTCTCTCAGCAGCTAAACTCTCTCAACACCTCAACTCTCTCTGCAGCTAAACTCTCTCAGCACCTAAACTCTCTCTGCAGCTAAACTCTCTCAGCAGCTAAACTCTCCCAACACCTAAACTCTCTCAGCAGCTAAACTTTCTCAGCACCCTAATCTCAGCAGCTAAACTCTCAGCACCTAATCTCAGCACCTAAACTCTCTCAGCACCTAATCTCAGCACCTAAACTCTCTCAGCAACTTCAGCACCCTAATCTCAGCACCTAAACTCTCTCAGCACCTAATCTCAGCACCTAGCTCTCTCAGCACCTAATCTCAGCACCTCCCAACTCTCTCCTCCTCAACTCTCTCAGCACCTAATCTAAGCAGCTAAACTCTCTCAGCACCTAAACTCTCTCAGCACCTAATCTCAGCACCTAAACTCTCTCAGCACCTAATCTCCAGCACCTAAACTCTCTCAGCACCTAAGCTCTCTCAGCCAATCTCAGCACCTAAACTCTCTCAGCACCTAATCTCAGCACCTAAACCTCTCTCAGCACCTAATCTCAGCACTAATCTCCAGCACCTCAACTCTCTCAGCATCTAGCACCTACTCTCTCAGCTCTCTGCACCTGATCTAAGCAGCTAACTCTTCAGCACCCTTCTTCAGCACCTAAACTCTCTCAGCACCTAATCTCAGCACCCTAAACTCTCTCAGCACCTAAGCTCTCTCAGCACCTAATCTCAGCACCTAAATCTCTCAGCACCCCTAATCTCAGCACCTAAACTCTCAGCACTCTCTCAGCACCTAATCTCAGCACCTAAACTCTCTCAGCACCTAATCTCAGCACCTAATCTCAGCACCTAATCTCAGCACCTAAACTCTCTCAGCACCTAATCTCAGCGTCTAAACTCTCTCAGCACCTAATCTCAGCAGCTAAACTCTCTCAGCACCTAATCTCTCTTCACTGTCACCGCTACATAAACGACTTCCACTTCACTACCTATACATCTACCCTGAACGACCGGTATATAACGAACACCAATAATAACTATCTGTATCCGATTACGATTCTCAGATTAAACTTAACACGAGTAACCTAACCTAACCTAACCTAACCTAACCTAACCCTGAAAACGTCAACATATATTTGGACCATTTACCTCTGAAACACTTAATATTTTTAGTATGATTTATTTTTATTTAGTTTGTTGGAGTATTGGTGGAGCTTGTTGGAGTATAGGTGGAGTTTGTTGGAGTATTGGTAGAGATTGTTGGAGTATAGGTGGAGTTTGTTGGAGTATTGGTAGAGATTGTTGGAGTATAGGTGGAGCTTGTTGGAGTAGGTGGAGTTTGTTGGAGTATTGGTAGAGATTGTTGGAGTATAGGTGGAGTTTGTTGGAGTATTGGTGGAGCTTGTTGGAGTATTGGTAGAGATTGTTGGAGTATAGGTGGAGTTTGTTGGAGTATAGGTAGAGATTGTTGGAGTATAGGTGGAGTTTGTTGGAGTATAGGTGGAGTTTGTTGGAGTATTGGTAGAGATTGTTGGAGTATTGGTAGAGATTGTTGGAGTATAGGTGGAGTTTGTTGGAGTATAGGTGGAGTTTGTTGGAGTATAGGTGGAGTTTGTTGGAGTATTGGTAGAGATTGTTGGAGTATTGGTAGAGATTGTTGGAGTATTGGTGGAGATTGTTGGAGTATTGGTAGAGATTGTTGGAGTATTGGTGGAGCTTGTTGGAGTATTGGTAGAGATTGTTGGAGTATTGGTGGGGCTTGTTGGAGTATTGGTAGAGATTGTTGGAGTATTGGTGGGGCTTGTTGGAGTAGGTGGGGTTTATAACAGGTGAAATATTGTCCAACACGACTCTTAGCTGGTCTCCCACGTGTACCTCCGGGCAATACTCACACCTGGATAACCACACCTTAAGCTACACCTGCACTATGGAATGTTTCCTCGAGGGGCCAGAGCCTTGAGGGCCAGAGCCTTGAGGGCCAGCTTTGAGGGTTGGCCTTGAGGGATTGTTTTGCGGTTTTAACTCATCCTTGACGACAGTAACACGCTATGGGATGCCACACAGGCCTTGGGCACCACTTTCTTAACACGTAAACATAAATATACTGCACACTCTCTCTCTTTTCCACACACACACACACACACACACACACACACACACACACACACACACACACACATATGCACACACACACACACACATATATGCACACACCACACACTTACACATACACGCACATACACTCTCTGTCATTCCCTTTTTCACACATAATCTCAATCACACACACACACACACACACACACACACACACACACACACACACACACACACACACACACACACACACACACACACACACACACACACACAGGGCGTCAACCACAAGGACCTATAGCATCTCCAAATAAATAACAACCAATAAATATTCCTCCATACTGGTCCCTTAACAAGATGACGGACATATAACTACACCAGGACCTCGTAACTCCCAGCCCAGAACACTGACCTCCCTACTACCGTGTTGCCCTTAATTAGTATGGATCAGTTATTAGGACCATGTAATTAATGGAGTCACTGGCCTTGATCACGTGTGTGTGTGTGTGTGTGTGTGTGTGTGTGTGTGTGTGGGGGGTTATTACAGTCATTGAACCTGATCATCGCTTTGGACTGTATAATTGTGATTTTCCGCTGGTGTGCTCTTCGTCCCTCCTCCCACCCCCTTCTTTTCTCACTCTGTTTATCTCTTCCTTTCTCTGTCTCTTTTTTCTTTCGCTTCTCTTATCTCTTCTCTCATTCTATCTCCTTTTCTGTCTCTTTTTTTGTCTCTTTCTAGCATCACCATGAGCCATTATGAGGTTCCGTGCTGTGATTGGTCAAGAATTAACTCTGATGACATTGGAAACTAATGTGACGTCACTATTTTCTAACCAATGACTATTTTTGCTTAATATATTTTTCTTTTTTCAGGTATGTCGTGCTGAGTGCTGATTGGTGCGTCTTGTTTGGTGTGTTGGTGAGCAAAAACAAAAGATCTTGTTTGCAGGTATTTCTAGGTCATAGTTAACAGGTAGCTTAAACATTATTATTATTATTATTATTATTATTATTATTATTATTATTATTATTATTTTTATTATTATTATTATTATTATTATTATTATTATTAGTATTATTATTGCTATTGTTGTTGTTGATGTTATTTTTATCGTTTTTATCATCATTATTGTTATTATTACTGTTGTTATTATTGCGAGTTGTGTTCCTCATGTTTATTAAATTATGAATATGTTAAAAAAGCACAGAATCTTTTAACAATAGCCAGAATATTGATATAATAGCGTAGATTTTTTGTAACAATAATGGAACAAACTTCTAATGGGTACTAATTGTAATGGGGGGTGGGGGTACAGTAGTTCTAATGGCTCTTACTTTCTACAGGTTAGGTTAGAGGTTAGTAGGTGGATGAGGGTACTATATATGTATTATGATAGGGACTTCAGTGTGGGTAGGTATCCATGTGTACATTTCCGAAGATTGTGTAGATATGGTCAAATGAAACTCAGTGAAAGAGAGAAACGGCTTTGAAACACTGACCCACAAACACCAGCAGCACGATGACCGTATATAAACCGTAATTAGAGCAGTAAAGAGATGACGAAACCCCCGACTCCACCTCCTCTCCTCCCCCCCCCCACGCAAATGTAAACAAACTCGAGCGCCTCTAGCGGCCAGTAACGGTACTACGAAACACATCATAATATAAAAACAAACTTTAAGTAACTTAGATATTTTTATCCCCATCCTCTTTATCTAGACGACCAACTTAATAATTGGATATATTTTGGTGTTTTGTCTTAAGTGTTTTCATACAGGTCCAATTACGAGGAAAATTCGGATTCATAAAGGGTCGTACGATGACTATTCCTCGTCTCTGAAGACTTAATAATGATTCTGACTGGTTGACTTAATTGAGTTATATTTGGAATTGTTTTTGTGTTTAAACTTAAGTCAAACAGTTAGGTTTATTTCTCCATCACTATTTACGAGGAATATCCACCGTACGAACCATTATGAATGCTTCTTGACCCACGAATCTTAAGCAAACAAAACGAAGCCTTACTAGCAGTGGACCAGCCAGCCTGCATCTAGGGCGTGAAATAATCCGTTCTCATTGTGTTCATCTCTCTGGTGGGCGTCTCCCTGGAGCTACTATTTTAAGACTGTTTCGGGAGACTGGTCATGAATACGTCGTCAGGAGCGTTGCTAAATGTTCCAGAGACTCACTCATGTGCAACAAATTATTATATACGCGGTAATCTGGCCTCAGAAATCGTAATGTTTCAGAATTTTTTTTATAAAAGAACGTAAATTTTCAGACCTGGATCCAGATCATTAAAGATTTTATTGGTTATTTCTTCACCATGGAGGTTAATGAACGCCTTTAGTTAACCACAGAGTGTTAATGTAACGTTGGCGATTATTTAACTCAATTTTTCTGTGAACGTGTTGGAAGCGTTCTTGTGTACCGGATTAAAGGCACAGATTACCTTAGATTCATCCTCACATTTAAGGATTATCAAAAACACTTACGTTAAATCAACTTCCCGTAAGTGGATATGACACAATGAGAAAAAAAATGGCGTCGGCTTTACAGTAAGACTCTACCCGTTCTACCGTAAGTGGTTAAAAGGCATATTACTCTTACTTAAGGGAACGAATGCGTTTTTGAGAATTTGGATTCCTGCCAACGCCTCATTAGATACCTACATCTTTAATGACACCATAATAACGTTTTAACCTGGATTTCACTTAGGGTTCTGTGTTATTAGTAATTGTTGTATGTATTTTAGGAATAATTAAGGTTTATTGTTGTTATTGTATTCTATATGTTATTGTTATATTAAAGTGTTCTTCTGAATGATATACTTTCAGAACTTTTCTATTTAGTCTTAAGTAAATGAGAAGATGTTATTGACTTGTACTCTCTCTCTCTCTCTCTCTCTCTCTCTCTCTCTCTCTCTCTCTCTCTCACACACACACACGGTCGTTATCTTCTTCGGTAACATTGTTGAACTCCTGGGTACAACATTATCGTACTCAAGTGATGTGGATATCGTACTCAAAAGGTTTAGTCATCGTACTCAAAAGATTAAATCATTGTACTCAAGTATATTCGCCATCGTACTCAAGACACTATTATCGTACTCAAGGGGATAAATCATCGTACTCAAAGGATTAATTCACTAAACTCATCAGGTTAACTTCGTCTCAAACCAAATAAAAAAATCTATATTAAATTTGAAAAATCTAAAAAACAAAAAATTATGAAGACAATCTTTTACCTTTACTGTGAGGCTGAAAAAAATCGTTAGTGAATAATCTATCTATTAGTAAAGTTACCAGAAAATTGGGATAAAACTTCCTCATTAGTCTGTATCGAGAAAAAAAGTGTGTGCGGTGGATGAATGGAAACAACACTCACTTCTTGTCATTAAGGGTCATTGGTTCGCATCCTGCTTACCCCCCCTTTTCCACCCAGCTTAGAATAACTCTGGTTTAGACTAGACGTGACTGATATGACTTAGGTGGAAGTAATCTGTGAGCTGTTTCAGTCAAGTAATTGTGACTTATGGTGTAGTGTGGTGTGGGATAGGTTGGTGGTGTGGTGTGGTGTGGTGTGGTTACGGTGTGGTGTAGTGATGGTGTGGCAGGATTAACGTGGTAGGGAGGGAGTGTGTGGTGTGGTGAGGGAGCAGGTGTGGGCGGGCCAGCTGACGCCGGGCTAGCGGGCCACCTCACCACACACACACGCAGAATAAAACAAACAGACAGACAGCAACAGTAAAACAAGACGGCACAAACACGGGTTAAGGCGGGAAGCAACGATACAAACAACACAAACATGGATTAAATTACATACAAACAACAGCACGAGACACAAACACGGGTCACAACGCACATACGACAACAGCTACACCGTCTTCTGGCCACCAAACATAACGGAAGTTAACTTGTAGCACGACAATAAGCGCCGCATAACTCGCCCGCTGCTAAAATGACTGGGGAAGGGAGGTGTTGCGGCGAGCTAGGGTAGGGTCGGCCGCACGCCACTTGTTTATGGGCGAGGCGGAAGTTGTGACGTCACGCCCTCTCCCTGGGTGACACTCCTGCGCATTACTTCACTATTTCTGTATGTTTATTTATCTGCCGTTCTAAATTAATATTAAACGTATAAATGGATTTTTAGAGCTATTTAATAAGTTGGTTATTAACTTATTATATATTAAATTTAGTAACGTTTTTACTGATATAATTAATTTTATTTCACGATATATATTTGCGTCTGTCTGTGTGTCTGCTACCCCCAAGTATAGTCAAGATAAAGGCGGCCATGACCGACTTTATCAGGAAGTTTATGACTGTTTATCGAGGTTTGTGCACAAGACTCTGTTACGACTCAGTAGTTAATGAGCAGTGAGGCGTGACGGGAGGTTGTTTGAGTGGAGCAGTCAGTGTGTGTGTGTGTGTGTCGACAGCTTTACTTTGTATCAGGGAGAGGATCACCTGAAGATTAACCATCCTAACCTAACCCACCTGTGTCCACCCACTACCAGCTGTAATAAGCTTATCTCCTTGCTATTTTGGTTATTATTATTATTATTATTATTATTATTATTATTATTATTGGTTTTCTTTTTGGTAGGAATAGTAGTAATATCAGCATTGGTTATATTTATCACCAATAATATTTTTTTTAGAGTTCATGAGCTCAGTATGGTTGAGTGAGTGTGTCTAAAACAGCTGGTGGTGGTAGTGGTGGTGATAGTTGTAGTGGTGGTGGTGGTAGCCCAACTCCATAACGAGGCAGACAAGCGCCAACGCCGGAAAGACGCTGCCGCCGCCCCTCCCGCACTAGATGTAGCCCCCCACATGTACAACATCTGTGGACGACCCTGCCGGTCCCATATCGGCCTCTTTAGTTACCTCAATACTCACTAACCTAGGTGACATCCCTAATAACTCGTATCATTGCATCATAGCTGGATGATCGTCATACTCGATTCTGAGTGACAGCAAAGTAGTAGTAGTAGAAGTAGTAGAAGTAGTAGTGGTGTTGGTGGTGGTAGCTGTAGTGATGGTGGTGATAGTGGTAGTGGTAGGAGTAGTGGTAGTAATGATGGTAGGGTGTAATGGTGGTAGTGGTAGTAGTTGCAGTAGTGGTAGTGATGGTGGTCGAGTGTAGTGAACTAGTAGAAGTAACATCTGTCGGTGTGTGTGGCGACTGTGTACCGACACACACACACACACACACACACACACACACTAATAATAATAACTAGCCCAGCCCAATAATTTAAGGTAATTAGGTTATGCAGTGAATGTGAAATAGAGATTGTAGTTATTACTCATGTACTCTCTCTCTCTCTCTCTCTCTCTCTCTCTCTCTCTCTCTCTCTCTCCTGACAGATAAGGGAGTTTCCACATTCTGAGAGACTCTTATGTTATAATATCCTCGTAAGTGACTATACAAGAATACACTTAACTAACTCGTTGACTTACGACTAAAATACAGTTATTTACGTCCGGAAACAATGACAAAACTACACTGAGACTCTACCTTAACTAGTGACAAAATTACACTGAGACTCTACCTTAACTAGTGACAAAATTACACTGGAACTCTACCTTAACTAGTGACAAAATTATACTGGGACTCTACCTTAATTGGATACGTTCACTTATCACCAGTTAAAGGACAAGATTACACTGAGGCTCTACCTTAACTAGATACGTCCACTTAGCACCGGTTAGGAGAAAAATATTAACGTATAGAATCTCTAAATTGAGTCTCTGCTTTGATTCTATCTCTTAACTGAACGTATCTAGTTAAGGTAGAGTCTCAGTGTACTTTTGTAGCTAGTTAAGGTAGAGTCTAAGTATAATCTTGTCTCCTAACTGGTGCTAACTAAAAGTATCTAGTTAAGGTAGAGTCTCAGTGTACTTTTGTAGCTAGTTAAGGTAGAGTCTCAGTATAATCTTGTCTCCTAACTGGTGCTAACTAAACGTATCTAGTTAAGGTAGAGTCTCAGTATAATTTTGTCTCCTAACTGGTGCTAAGTTAAGATGAAGCGTCAATGAGTAATTTTTATGATAATTTCGGCCGTAATTGTTGTGTTTTAGTTAAAGTCAACCAGATAGATACATTTTTAACATCTTCACTTACTAGAAATATTCATCGTACGAACTTTCTGAGAATCTGGACCCAGCCTTGGTTGTTATGTTATTGTTGTACACGTCAGCAGGGTTCAGGGACGCTGCTTGATTCCCTGAGGCATACCAGTAGACCATATACCTGGGTAATCTGACTCCCTATAATCAACACTTCCTGTCAGAGGTATCTTGAACACACTGTCTCTCTCTCTCTCACCAACCCACACACTCTCTCTCACTCTCTCACTCTCTCTCTCTCTCTCTCTTCACCTTAACTTAATGTATTCACCTTCATCACTGAGGTCCCTACACACAACGCGATCGTACTCTGATACTTTATCTCTTGACCCACTGGAGCCAGAAGTTGTAAAGTAAACCTCACTACCTGACATATATACCCTACTATAGGTTTCACGCATCTCTAGTCAGGAGTGATTCTCTTTTTTCTTTTCTTGCGTCTATAGTCAGTAGTGATTTTTGTTTTTGCTTCACGCGTTTATAATCACAAGCAATTCTTTTTTTTTGTTTCATGCGTTTATAGTCTACAACGATTCTCTTTTCTTTTACGCGTTTATAGTCAACAGTACTTCTCTTTTGTTTTACGCATTTATAGCCAACAGCGATTCTCTTTTGTTTCATGCGTTTATAGTCAACAGTGATTTTCTTTTGTTTCATGAGTCTATAATCAACAGCAATTCTCTTTTGTTTTACGCGTTTATAGTCAACAGTGATGATGTTATATGTTTTACGCCTCTATAATAAGCAGTGATCCTCTTTATTTCATACGTCTATAATCCTCCAGTCATGGCGTTATGGTTTACGTGTTTATAATCCCTAAGGTTTGTTGTTATATGTTTTTATGCGTCTTTAATCACCCTCATATATTGTTATATTATTCGTCTATCGTAACCCAGCGATTCTCCGTTTGATATATCTACTGATGCTCACTTGTTTCACACATCTATGGCCACCTACTGATGCTCACTTGTTTCACACATCTATAACCATCTACTGATGCTCACTTGTTTCACACATCTATAACCATCTACTGATGCTCACTTGTTTCACACATCTATAACCATCTACTGATGCTCACTTGTTTCACACATCTATAACCATCTACTGATGCTCACTTGTTTCACGCATCTATAGTCATCGAGGCAATAGGGTATAATCTTCATCTTACGCTCGAAGTCTTTCTCTTGGACTCCCTGAACCATGTCTTAGGCCAACATGATTTATCGCCGCCGTGACTGTTTACTGCGAAGGCTCACAAAAGTTCCCCCGATCTTAATTCTTTTGTTATTGTTTGACTTGGTGGGATCTTAGCCATTGTGTGTTTGTTTGACGGGATAATAACCACAGGAGAGCCTTCGTCATTTCTGTCTCTCATATCTCATAATTATCTCTCCTCTCTTGGGCTTAAAGTGGAGAGATAATGGCGATCACTATCTCCAAGATGGTGGGGAGAGAAGGGGGGGAGGGGAGACAATAGGAGAAGAAGGGAGGGAAGGGGTGAGGGTAGAGAGGGAGGGAGAGATGGAGGACGGATTGAATTATGTGAGGAGTCTCTCTCTCTTTCTCTCTCTCTCTCTCTCTCTCTCTCTCTCTCTCTCTCTCTTTCTCTCTCTCTCTCTCTCTCACTGGTTATTAATTCTTATCATCATACCGATAAATGACTGCGGTTTTGTGATAAAGATGGATAGATGGAGATAGATAGATAGATAGATAGATAGAGAGAGAGAGAGAGAGAGAGAGAGAGAGAGAGAGAGAGAGAGAGTATTGTAAATCATCTTTCGTGTATAGAGTAAATTGACACCAGAATATTATAGTAATATTATAGTCAGGTCTTACAGTAATCAGTTTAATACCTACAATTTACGTGATTATGTTCCTTGAGAATTATACACTAGTTAGGGTATATGTATAATTTAGTAGTCTCTCCCATCTTCCTTCTCTCCCTCCTATCTTCCTTATCTTCCTTCTCTCCCTCCTATCTTCCTTCTCTCCCTCCTATCTTCCTTATCTTCCTTCTCTCCCTCCTATCTTCCTTATCTTCCTTCTCTCCCTCCTATCTTCCTTATCTTCCTTCTCTCCCTCCTATCTTCCTTATCTTCCTTCTCTCCCTCCTATCTTCCTTATCTTCCTTCTCTCCCTCCTATCTTCCTTCTCTCCCTCCTATCTTCCTTATCTTCCTTCTCTCTTCCTCTCCCTCCTATCTTCCTTCTCTCCCCTCCTATCTTCCTTCTCTCCCTCCTATCTTCCTTCTCTCCCCTCTATCTTCCTTCTCTCCCTCCTATCTTCCTTCTCTCCCCTCCTATCTTCCTTCTCTCCCTCCTATCTTCCTTCTCTCCTCCTATCTTCCTCTCTTCCTCCTCTCTTCCTTCTCTCCTCCTCTCTTCCTTCTCTCCCTCCCTATCTTCCTTCTCTCCTCTATCTTCCTTCTCTCCTCCTATCTTCCTGCTCTTCCTCCTCTCTTCCTTCTCTCCCTCCTATCTTCCTTCTCTCCCTCCTATCTTCCTGCTCTCCCTCCTATCTTCCTTCTCCCTCCTCTCTTCCTTCTCTCCCTCCTATCTTCCTTCTCTCCCTCTATCTTCCTTCTCTCCCTCCTATCTTCCTTCTCTCCCTCCTATCTTCCTTCTCTTTATCCATCTTCCTGCTCTTCCTCCTCTCTTCCTTCATCTCCTCCTATCTTCCTTCTCTCCCTCCTATATTCCTTCTCTCCCTCCTATCTTCCTTCTCTTCCTTCTCTCCCTCCTATATTCCTTCTCTCCTCCTATCTTCCTTCTCTTCCTCCTCTCCCTCCTATATTCCTTCTCTCCCTCCTATCTTCCTTCTCTTCCTTCTCTCCCTCCTATCTTCCTTCTCTCCCTCCTATCTTCCTGCTCTTCCTCCTCTCTTCCTTCTCTCCCTCCTATCTTCCTTCTCTCCCTCCCTATCTTCCTTCTCTCCCTCCTATCTTCCTTCTCTCCCTCCTATATTCCTTCTCCCTCCTATCTTCCTTCTCTTCCTTCTCTCCCTCCTATATTCCTTCTCTCCCTCCTATCTTCCTTCTCTTCCTTCTCTCCTCCTATATTCTTCTCTCCTCCTATCTTCCTTCTCTTCCTCCTCTCTTCCTCCTCTCTTCCTTCTCTCTCCCCTTCCCTCTCTATTTCTCGTTCCCTTTCTTCTCCTCCTCCTTCTTTTCCCTTCTTTCACTCCTGACGTCATTCCATCCTTCCTTCTCTCCTCCATTCTCCTTCCCTCCCCCATTCCTCTTCTTCTTCCTTTCTTTCACGCCTGACGTCCTTCTTTCCTTCCCTACTCCTCTTCCCTTCCTTCCTTCGTTTTTTCCGTCCCTTCCTTCGTTCATTCCTTTCCTTCCTTCCTTCCTTCCTTCCCTATTCTCTTCCCTTCTTTCAAGCCTGACGTCCTTCTTTCCTTCCCTACTCCTCTTCCCTTCTCTCATACCTCTAATCCTTCCTTCCTTCACACCTTCTATCCTTCCTTCCTTCCTTCACCCATCCCTCCCTCCCTCACCACATGACCAACCAAGCATATCGTAATTTTTCTCTCTGGGTTAAAAAAAGACTCGTCGTTAGTTTAGTCTTCTCAATAAATCTTATATATATGTGCTATTTGTCTGTTCATTTGGCGGTACATGGTAGTTAGATCACCTGGTTATTAGACTCACCTAGTTATTTCACCTGATGATTAAACACCTTAAAGCTATCCTTACTTTATGTTAACTTAATCTTATCTAATTTAACATAACCTAACCTAACATAACCTAACCTAACCTAACCTAACCTAACCTAACATAACCTAACCTAACATAACCTAACCTAACCTAACATAACCTAACCTAACCTAACCTAACCTAACCTAACATAACATAACATAACATAAAATACAATGTTAACCACGTGAGTACAGTGAATTGAGTAGCTTGAGTACGATGCTAACCACTTGAGTACAGTGAATTGAGC